CACTGGATAGAAGATGCGAGGACAGAGGGCTGGTGTCTCCAGTCTGTGCTGAGGGCTCCTGCCCAGGCTGACCCAAGCACTTGGTCCCCACTCCCACCAGAAGCTCCCTGGCAGGAAGAAGGGGGGGGGGGGGGGGGGGGGGGGGAATGGGGGGGGGGGGGCTTGCAGACCCCTCGCACCTGAGGCCTCAAGAGGAAGTCCATGGCTGGCAGGGGTGAACCTGGCAAGGAGGGGAGGGCATCTGCCCGCGCCCCTTCCAGTCACGTGCCCCACTGGGCCAAAGTGACCAATAACCTGGCTGAATGTGGCACTGAGGTTAATCATTAGACTCCTTAGGAAAATCAGGAGGGGGCCATGTGGGGTGGTGACCACGTGGGGGGGCGGGTCCAATGGGCACGTGGCCCCAGGGGTGGGGCCAACTATGGGGCGGGGGCAGGGCCAGCTGCATCAAGGAGCTCTGCCCAGAACTACTGTGTGTGTTGGGACCCATGCACATTAAGGCGGGGTCAGAGGGGACCTACTGGGTGAGACCTAGGGTCTTCAAAGTTCCTGTACAGTTACTACCTGGTCCTTCATAAAACAGCCTCAACTCTATCCCCAGGAACAGGAGCCACCTCACCGCCCCCAACACATGGTACAAGGTCAGGATATGGATGACAGAGTCTCTCTCCAATTGACCACAGGCTCCTTTCTCCAGCATCTACACACACACCACCCCACCCAGCTGGCCCCTGGGCCTGAGCACCTGTGGCCTAAGGGCCAGTTGACTGAGCAGTACTCACCACCGTGTGGAAAGAATCTGCCCCTGAGGCGGGGCGCCGACCGCTGCTCATGGCCAAATCTTAGCCCTTTTCACTGTCGCTTCGGCTTTCAGGGCAACAAGGTGGAGGCATAACCTGGGTGGGGGAGAGGACCAGTCACCATCGGAGGGCACAGCAGGCCAGGCCCAGGCCCACAGGGCGTCCAGCCCCGGGGGGTGGGGGGGAAGGAGCCCAAGCGCCCAAGCTGCCTGTCACCCGGGTCTCCTTGCTGCTCAGGATCCTCCTAGACTATGAAGGGCCTCAGAGTGGCCCTTTGAGGCTACAAGAGCAAAAAGGAGAGTTATTTATAGAAAAAAAAGAGAAGAACAAAGAGAGAGAGGGAGGAGAAGACTAAAGCGGAGGGCCACGAAGGGCCTCAAGACTGAGCAGAAAGTAGGAGAGCGGAGGGGGAGAGGCTGCAGAAAATGAGGGAGGAAGGAGTCAAGGCGACAGAGATCAGGGAGGGCGTGATAAAGAATGGAGGAAAATTGGGAGTGAAGGGCCAGACAGAAACAGGAACCCAGCCCGAGGTGGCCCGGGAGGTGGGCCTGAGACCAGAGAGGGGTGTGGTGTCGAATGAGACACCCTGTGGAGCAGAGGGGTGTGGAGGAGGGGGCCACTGCTGCCCAGACAGAAAGGAGAGGGAGAGAAAGAACGCTGGACAGAGCCCAAGATGCCAAGCAGGGGGCCTCTAAGTAGGGAGGGGGTGCCCCTTTCTCCAGGCAGGCTGGGCAGGGAGGCAGACCTGCCTCCTCAGTGAGGGCAGGCAAGAGAAGCAAGTTCCTGGGGTGAAGGGCAGGAGCCTAGCTCCATTCACTCAGTGGGAGGGAAGAAGGGGCTGGCGGTGGGCTCCAACTGGGCAGAGTTTTATAATGGGGGGAGGTGCACATGACCACAGCAAAGGGGTGGGCACATAAAACCCGAGGTCCTGCTCCTGATGGGCAGTTCCCATCCCTCCCCTCTTTAGTTAGGGGCCAGGAAAATCTGAGTAGCAGGGCTGCTGCCCTCCTGATGGTGACTGTAGGGGAGGCCAAGGGAACACTGTGTTGGGGGTAGGGGGTTAGAAAAGGGGGTTCTCTCTGTAGGGAGAGAACCCAACCACTGCAAATCGGGGTACCCATTCCCAGTGGGGGCGGTACAAGGCTCTGTGAAGGTAACGATATGAAGTTCCCTGACTCGGGCTACCTTGCAGGTAAGACAGGTCAGCATAGGGTCAAAGAATAAAGGTCTGGGGGGTGGTCAGCCCAGGGTGGGGAGCCTGGGCAACACATTCCTGGCAGGCACTCCAACTCAGCTGACTGCTCTCTCCACCTCCCCCTCAGCAGGCCTTCAGCCAGGACCCGCCAGTGTGGGGGAGAGGTGTCCTGGGAGTAGACATGGACTGGGAGGGGTGTGGGGAGAATCCATCCCCTGCACCTGCAGGTGCTCACTCCCATCTCTAGGCTATACCCTCAGAGTGCTCTTCCATCACCCCCTCCTCCCTCTACCCATGCCCCCCACCCCTCCCTTGCTGTCCCAGAACACAAAGCAGCTTCTGTCCACAGCATCGGTGCCTATAATCCGGGTGGGGGCACATTCCGGGGACCAGCCCTGACCGGCCCAGAGGATTAGCATCTCTCCCCCTGCCCAAGGGATTATCACCCTGGACCCCCACTTGGGCATTAACTACTCCCCAAGAGAACTGGTACATTCCACAGCTCTTTGCTGAGGGACTGGCCAGGGAGAGGAGGGAGGATAAAGTGGACCCCGATACCAGGCAGTGCTACCCTCACAATCATCACGGAGCTCCCCAGCCAGACAAGGTGGCCCCCCCAGGAGTCAGGTCCAACTCCAGGCTCGTCTTTTCCAACCCCTACCTAGTTGCTCCCTCTTCTGCCTGACCCCTTGTCCTGACCTGACCCGCCACCCCCCCCCCTTTTTTCGACTCCGCCTCCCAACTCCGAGATCAGGGCCGAGGCCCCAGGCCCGAGGCAACCCCCAGGACAGGCCTGAGAGAGACTGTAGGGAGGTCGCAGGGGAGAGGGGTTGTCTGGAGCCGGCCCAGGAGTGGGAGAGCCTGTGGTGGCGCCTCCCTGAGACTACCCCCTCCTGGTGGCAGGGGGCGCGGCACTCTGGCCTTAGGAAACTCCAAGAAGCAGACCCCGGAATCGTAGCTTCCGACCAGCACTCTGCTCTTCTCCTCATCCCTCTCCCCAAAACCTGGTTCCCCGCGCCCCAGTCTCCGCCCTTTCCTCCACTTCCACTCCCTCCCCGCCCGCGTCCCGAGTTCCCCCCTCTCCTTCCCCCCTCCCTTCCTCCCTTCGCTGCCCCGGCCCTTCCCCGCCACCACCTCTCCACTTACCCGCTTGCTCAGGATTTCGTGCCCCGGGGGTCTCGGGGTCTGTCCAAGTCCTCCGGTGCCCTCTCGCGCTCCCGACGACTTCCCCGTGCCCACCCCGGGGCGCGCCCCCGCCGCTCCCAACTTCTCCCAACTCAACTTTCCCCCGCGCCGCGGGCAGTCCAGCCCCCAGCGTGCGCGCCCCCCGGCGCGCCGTGCGCGGCCCCGGCGCGGCGAGCCAAGAAGCAGCCCGGGCAGAGACCAGGAACGGAGGCGAGGCGCGCTTCCAGGCATAGGCCGGCACCCGGAGTCCCGCGTGTGGAAGCCACCCTCCACTGTCGCCGCCCTGGGCTTCCCCCCTCAGTCGCCCCGGGAATGCCAACTCTTGCCTTGTTACTGCACCTCTGGTCAGAAAGGAGCTCGCTTCACTCTTGGGGGACACAGAGTGCAGAGAATGGCCAGGAAATTCTGGGCGGAGGAAGTTGGAATAGGCATGCACAGGGGTTAAGAATCTCTTGCGCCACCCCGGCCCCAATAATCCCCCTGAGGCATGGAATGGCAGGCGGCTGAGAAGTAACAGAGCTGGAAGTTGGCTGCCCATTACCCTGAGCTGACCTAGGACCAGACGACTTGTTGGGGATTCCCCACTTCCGTTTGCTCTGCTTCCACACTGAATGGAGATCTATTCATAGTTGTCGCCTTTTAAAGACCTTTATGTGTAATCTTGCTTCTCCAACTAAATTATAAATTCTTTCAGATAAGGAATATGCTTTTCACTCCCTTAGCCTGCCACGTGGGTGAATCACAGCATTGTTTATGCCAAAGCACTCAGATATACATGAGTTAATTAACAAAGGTTAGCACCAATTCTGGTTTCAACGCTGAGTAGTGTTATTTGAGGCCGTTTTCGCCCAGTTCACAGCCCTCAAGAATGCAATCAGGAGACAATTAGAGAGCAGTGCAAGAAAATCTATAATCAACTCCTTTAAGGGATGAGGTAAAGACTGGCTTCAAATGTAGCATCTGTCTGTGGTCTTGTCTGTTGAGAGGGGTAACCAACCTGCCAGCCCTCGTGGGCCACACCCTGGCTGACTCCAGTGGGCCCTGCTCTGGAGACAAGGATCTGGGGGACTCGCAGCCTCCAGCCAGCTTGCCTCAACATGTTAGAATGGAGCTGTTGGAATTCGGTGGACTCCAGGATGATAAGTGGGACCAGCAGAAAGAAGGATCTCTGGTGCGTGTGTCTCTCCACTCAATTCCAGCCTCAAATGGAGCACACCTGCCTTGCTACCCAGCCCTGTGGTCAGCTGGTCCCTGTGAGGTCAGCAGCAGGAAAACGTAGCTCAGAGCCATTTTCCTCTCAATCCTCGGGTCACTAGATGGCCTGAGGAGAGGCAGAAATTCGTGCCGAGGTTGTCAAGAGGTCTTGGAACTCAATATCACAAACCGGGTCAAAGTCAGGCCACCAGGGCCTGGGATCTAGGCCACCAAACCCTAAACCCCAAACAGAAGAGTGCCCCGCCCCACCCCACCCCCATCCCCGCTGCATTCTGGAACGTGTAGTCCCCCAGCGGCCCTTTCCAAGAGAGCTATGAGCACAGAAAAGGAATAACAAGAGCGGGGCACACTGGGAACCTCGGAGGCACGGCGGGGACGCCCGGAAAGCGAACACGCGATGCTTCCTGGGACTTGAAGTCCAGCGTTTGCCTCCGTGGTAGAACCTGAGTCTCGGGAGTAGAGTGCGGCAGAAAGCCGGAACGCAGCCTGCTGGGGCTTGTAGTCCTTGAGCCCGTCGCCCCGGGCCTTACTGGGAAATCTGGCCGTGCCAAGACTACAAGTCCCAGAAGCCCGTGCGCGGGCAGAGGGGCGGGTCGGGGCCGGAGACTTGGGTACCGCCTCCCCTGCAACGCCGGGGCCGGAGTCTTAGAACCCAGGGCCCGCAGGGGTCCCCGCGGCCGCCGCAATGCAGAAATACGAGAAACTGGAGAAGATTGGGGAAGGTAACAGAACCACGAGATGTTCCTGCAAGGTCTTCTTCTGCAGACCCTTCAGCATTCCTTGCAGCCCCGACTCCCCTTACCGTCAGCAATATCTACAGCTCGGATCTCAACCCCGGCAGAAGCCCTGGCCACTGAGCACAACACTATGTGCAACCATCCCTCCCCAAGTTAGCATTTCCCGCAGACTCCCACTTATAACCTTAGCACTCCCTGTAGACTCGACCTCCCTACCGCGGCACTTCCTGCATATCCCATCTCTAGCCTCAGCACCACTTGCAAACCTCACCTCGACCCCCCACCAACCTCAGTTTTCTGCAGACCTCCAACCTCAACATTTCTGCAGGCCCTCTTTTCTCGCCCACATCCCTCCTGTTTCCAGACTTACTGGAGCACCGCCTCTGTTATAAACCTCCTTATCCTAGCCGCTGCAGACTCTCCCTCCTGCAGGTATCCTGGAACCTTTGCAGGGACCTTCTTGCCCCTCCTCACCTGCCGCATCCTCACTTACAAAGCTAGTCAGTGCCTTGCCTTCACCCTGAAACCCTTCTCTAGCACCCTAGGAGGCTAACTGCTCTCGGGAGGGATTTACTAAGATGGTAAAGGATACTCCTGCTTTCCGTCACCCTTGGCTTCTTTTCCCTAGGCACCTATGGAACTGTATTCAAGGCCAAAAACCGGGAGACCCATGAGATTGTGGCTCTGAAAAGGGTGAGGCTGGATGATGATGATGAGGTAGGATTGGGGCACAGGGCAGCGGGGAGGTAGTGTTTGAGGCCTGGTATGGGTGGTCTCTGACTGCTGCCCCTGGGTCCCTCATGTGTAGGGTGTGCCGAGTTCTGCCCTTCGGGAGATCTGCCTACTCAAGGAGCTGAAGCACAAGAACATCGTCAGGTGTGTGCCCCACAGGCCTTTCTTGCCTGTGGTTGCAGGAAGAGGTGGGGGCTTCAGCGTTGGGCTGGGCTGGTATTGGGATGTTAGGGGTCAACTTTTGGACCTGACTGAGCCCTTCCTTCTCCCTAGGCTTCATGATGTTCTGCATAGTGACAAGAAGCTGACTTTGGTTTTTGAGTTCTGTGATCAGGTGAAAAGGGGGCTTGGGGAGCAGTGATTTTGGTAGGACACAGGGGCCAAGACTGAGCTTAAATTCTGACCTCTTCTTCTACCCTTATCTGTTTTTAGGACCTGAAGAAGTATTTTGACAGCTGCAATGGTGACCTCGATCCTGAGATTGTGAAGGTTAGGGGAGGGTTGTTCTGAGGACTCATTGAATCTGGGTGGGGGTCTATATTTAGTGTAAGTATTCCTTCACTGCATGTTTGGGCCCTGGAGTGTCAGAGAATGAACAAACCCCATTTCTGCCCTCCACAAGCCTCTGGTCTTAGGGAGCAAAGTCTGCTTTGACCTGCATGGTAACAGTGACGTTATTTGCATGGGAGAGATGAGAAAATGAGGCTCATAGAGATACATTTCATTCATTCAACAAGTACTGGATGCTTTGCACCAGGCACTGTGCTAGGATGAAGACCAAGGGCCTTGTCCCAGGTTCCAGGGGAAGCAGTTCCTGAATAATGTTATAGCACTGTACTTGCACTAATGGTTATGGTGTATGTGCACTTATGTGTGGCTAGGTAGGGCGATAAGCATGGACTGAGAAGACAGGCCCACCAGGCTCTAAGGTCCAAAAAAGTGGGGATCAGGGTTAACTTGTTCACCATTTTCTCTCTGATGCCTAGCACCATGCAAAGTGGGTCCTCAATAATGAATGATGATGTCTTCCTGAGCTTGCTGCTACAAATGGGTGGGCTATAGAGCATGACAAAAGGTGAGGCAGGCAGCAAGATCCACACATTCAGGTGTCTGACTCCCTTCTCCCTCCTTCTCCCTAGTCATTCCTTTTCCAGCTGCTGAAAGGCCTGGGATTCTGTCATAGCCGCAACGTGTTGCACAGGGACCTGAAGCCCCAGAACCTCCTCATAAACAGGGTATTGCTTTCTGGGGGAGGAGGGAGGATGGGGAGACTGCAGCCAGGGATTGGGCATACTGAGGGGGCAGGACTGGGAGAGCTGGAGCCTACCCCAATGCTGTTTGAAAGCTCTTATCAATGTTACTCTTCATCTTTCCTTAGAATGGGGAGCTGAAGTTGGCTGATTTTGGTTTGGCTCGAGCCTTTGGGATCCCAGTCCGCTGTTACTCTGCTGAAGTGAGCCTGGGAAATGGGACATCGGGTGGGGACCAAGACCCTCTTGTCTCTGAGTTTCCTCAAACCTGTTTCCCAGCCCTCTAAGTGGGGGGGTCCCTGTGGATGGGGTCTTCTTCAGGTGGTGACACTGTGGTACCGTCCACCGGATGTCCTCTTTGGGGCTAAACTGTACTCCACGTCCATCGACATGTGGTCAGCTGGCTGCATTTTTGCAGGTGACATGCTGGGGCTCTGCAGGGGTACTTTCTCTCCCATTTGAGTTGATAAGTAGGGCCTGGAGGGTTTCCTCTGGGGGAAGGGAGTGGGATTCTTAAGGATGGGGATGGAAGGCACAGGGCCTACTCCAGTGTGAGGGGGCCTCACAAATCAGGGCTCATCCCTCTCTCTTCCTCCCAGAGCTGGCCAATGCTGGGCGACCTCTTTTCCCTGGTAACGATGTGGATGACCAGCTGAAGAGGATCTTCCGATATCCTTCACTTCCCCTGCCCCATCTATCTCTTGCTCACCATCCATATCTTCACTCTGGAAGGGGAGTGAGCAGGGAACTTAGAGCAGGGGTGAGGGTGGTGATGGCCTGGGCAAGGATGAGGGGGCCCGGGGCTGCTTCTGAGGGTGAGGGTGGAAGAGCTGATAGTCCCTGTGCAGGTGCAGCTTGTAGGCAAGGGGAGCGTGGTGAGGAAGTAGCCACTCCTACTTCTGAGGTGGGGGGACGACGGGAATCCTCAGGATGAAGGAGCCAGAAGGAGCAGAGAACTTTTTGTGGGAGAAGGGGAAGGACAACTGGTTCATTCGGAGCACAGACATCAGGGTTTGAGTTAAATGAGCATTTGAGACACACCTGGCTCCCTGTAAACACCATGCTATAGGAATATATGTCACAGGCTTATCTTGAGGTAGCAGGTAGAGTGGGGGCAGGTGGGAATGCAGAATCCTATCCCTGGGAGGGCAAAGCCCCTCACCCTACCTCCAAAAGTGCAAATGCAGCCCTTTCCATGAGTGATCCTTGACCCCATGGACACGCTGCTGGGGACACCAACTGAGGAGCAGTGGCCCGCCATGACTAAGCTGCCAGACTACAAGGTGTGATGGGGAGTGGGGAAAGTCGTGGTTGGTCAGAGATCAGTTTCTTCACAGCCCCAGTAGCCTCCACACCCCACTCTCTGGTCTGACTCTCTCCCCTCCACAGCCCTACCCAATGTACCCGGCCACAACATCCCTGGTGAATGTCGTGCCCAAGCTCAATGCCACAGGGAGGGACCTGTTGCAGGTAGGTAACCAGGGTAGAGGATGGGGTTGAAACTCTCCTCCAGGGGGACTAGGGGAGGGTGGAGCTCTGGCAGTTGACCTGGCCTGAATCTGCCACCATCTTTGCTCCCTCCTGTCTCCAGAACCTCCTGAAGTGTAACCCTGTCCAGCGTGTCTCAGCGGAGGAGGCCCTGCAGCACCCCTACTTCTCTGACTTCTGTCCCCCCTAGGCTCTGGGACCCCTGGATGCCAGGCCAGGGCCTGGCCTATTTAAGCCCCCTCGTGGGAGGGGTGGGAAGGGGGGTGCTGAGCTCCAGCTGTGCTGGGCCTGGCCAGGGTCAAGGTACCCTGGCCTGCAATCTTCACTTCCCCCATGGACTTTATTTAATTTCATAAATTGGCTCCTTTCCCACAGTCTGCTGATGTAGTGGTGGGGTGGCTCTGAAGTGGGTTCTGGGGGATCCCTGCTCCACTTTTACCACCCTCTGCAGCCCCTCATCCAGCTCAGGCATGCCCTACTCTCTGCTACTCTAAGTGGCTTTGAGACTACAGGATCATGAGGCCTTGACCCTTGACCCCACTCCTCCCTGCTGGGGTCAAGGCGGTGTTGGCCTTGCACTTCTGTACACCCCATCCTCCCTCTGTCCAGGAAGGCCAGACATAGTCCCCAGGGGTTAAGCAGCTAGCATCTGAGATCAAAGATGGCTTCCACCAGAATGAGGAGAAAAGGCATGGGTCTCTCCTTGTGGCCCTCCACGTCCCACATGGACCTTTCCCTCTTCAACACCCCATATCCAAGCCTGCAGGCTGGCGGGGAGAGACCCAAAGGTATGGTTCTATGAGGAACACTCCCTCTCCCACTTCCTTCTCTGCCAGTTTTCCAGTGGTTGGGGGTGCGGCAGAAGCAGGAAATGGGCCTGAGGCCGGCCTGGTGTGTCCTTCCTGGCAGGAGGAGGAAGGGAGGCTGCTCTCAGCTCCATCATTTCCAGCTAGGGCCGCCTTCTCCTGTGGGGAGTTGAGGAAGCAAGAACTGCTCCCATGGAGACAGGCTGTGTGCCACGCTTGGTCCCAAATGTGAGAAGAACCATGGCCTTCAAAGGCAGGACACCAGCTTGTGTTCTTAGAAGTGGAAGAGCCCTTCTCTCATCCCCATTCCTCCTCACCACTTCTCCCTGGGCTCTGGGTCAGAGTCTTCTTGCAGCTGTACCCAGCCAGTACCTACTGACCGAGCCTCCTCTAGGCCATCACACCTGAGCCCTGGGGTTGGGAGAGACCTGTCCTCTGATGTCTTCTGATAAACTCATTCACACTGAGGTGCAAATGACTGGTATCCTATTACTACCATCCTCTCCCAGAGGTTTGTGAAGGCTAATTGGGGCCCAGCTCTGCAGGCCTCACAGAAGTGATACCTAGCTGAAGCTGACTGCAGTGGACTTACTGGGCTGAGAAGAGCTGACCTTGGCCCTGCTAGCCTCTGCCCTATAAGAGGAACACCTGAGGCAGAAACATTAAAGCTTTATTTGGGATGAAGATAGCAAAGATGTGCAGGCAGGGCATTCAGGATGTCAAAGTGTGGCCCCGAGGTCATACAGAGCATGTCTAGAGCCGGGTGACGAGGTAGCAGGAGCGGTGGGAGGCAGACAGAGTCTTGGTGACAGCACAGGGCGGGGTGGGGGGCCTGGGGAGACAGGCCACAGTACTGGGGCAGGGGACCTTCACTTGATGCCTTGTTCCTGCCCTTCAGGACCTGGACTGTACCCTCTGGACCTGTCCTGCCCCTCCTCCCTTGAACTTGGCCATTTTGTGTTACCTGGGGCCCAGATTGAAGTGGGGAACTTGGGTTCCATGGCTGCCCAGCCCTTCCTGAAGCTGTGGGAAGAGGAAGAGAGTCAGAGGTAGGGCCCAGCCAAGGTCACTGCACATATCTCCCCCACTTCCCACCAGGGAAGCGTCCTAGGCTGCCTGAGGAGGCTGCTGGAGGTGGCAGGGAAGGAAGAGGGGCTGTTACCAGAGTGGTGCTGGAGTGCTTCTGGGAGCGTCTTCTGTTCCAGAAATACCCCAGGACCCTGTCTCGGAACACCTGAGGGCAAGCAGCAGGGGGAGGTGGCCAGGTAAACCTTCCCCCTGGACCCGAGTGGCCAGATTCCTCTCCCCACCTTCCCCAGCTGGGGCCCAGGCCCACCTCACAGAGGTAGTCTAGGATCTCAAGGATGGTGAGCAGGCTGGCCCCGATGAACAGCCCCATCTGACCCCCAATGTCACCTGTGGAAGCAGGGCGCCTGTCAACTTACGGCCACTTGCCCCGCCCACGCCTCCACAGACCCTGGGCATTCAGCACACACCGAGCAGCTCTGACACTTCATAGGCTTTCTTCTGCTCCACTGTTTCAAAGTTAAGGGCCTCAAAGAAGATGTCCAGAATGAGCACGTTCTCCCTGGAGGGGAAGAAAGGCCTGAATGTTCGCTGGCTAATCCTTGGTGGCGGCCGCTGGCAGCAAAATGATGTGGGGCTTCTGGCTCCTTTCAAGAACCCTGGGAGGGACGTCACCCCCTCGCCCCTGGGTCAGAGCGCTTGGGCAGTTTGTCCAGAGCCCCAGACAGAGCTCGTGATGATGTGGACTGCCTGGCCGGGCCGCGCGCCCTCCCCGCCGGGGCCCTGGCTCGCTGGAGGGGCTCACGCGATGTAGGCCTCGCTGCGGTTGTATTTCCGAGCCAGGTAGCGGGCGGCAGCGCGGCTGGGGATCCGCACCATGGAGAGCTCCTTGGCGTAGCGCGTGCTGGCGCAAGGGCTGGGGCAGGCGCACGCGTCCTTCCGCAGCATGGCGTCTGCGGGCCACCGAGCCTGGAGTCAGGGTCCCGCGGCCAGTGGGGTGGGGGTCAAGGACGGGGCGGGGCGGGGACCGGGAGGCTTGTCTCTTACTCAGGGCCGGGTTGGCGCAGTCCTTGTACTGCTGGGGGCTGCACACCGGCGCGCCGCCTGGGGAGGGGAAGGAAGCAGCTTCAGGAGCCCAAGTGTCCCTTAGCCTCCACCCACCCCAGGACACGGACCCTACTCCTTACCAGGCATATGCATCATTCGACAGCCGCACTTTCGAGCCACGTAGCGGGTCTCGCAGACCAGGCGACACCCCATTAAGCTGTAGGGAGGGTTGGGGCTGGGGCTGGGACTGGGGGACAGGGGATCCGAGAGCTCCGGCTCAAAGTCGGGGTCCAGAGATACGGAACTACAGTCGCCCCAAGGCGGTGGCAGGAAGCTCAGCTGTGAGGGGATGGGGTTAAGGAGACTTATGGGAGAATGCAAGAAGTCACTGGAGCTCAGCCCCTGGGACAAGCTGAGGAACTGCCTGTAAGGGTTGAGGTGGTGCAGGACGAAGGAGGGGCTGGCAGCCTTGAGGGAGGCACAGGTGAGGATACTTGCTGCTTTTGGCAGGACACAAAAGTCTGATATCCGGGGGCAGCCCCGAAGCCCAGCTGGTCGATGATGGGGGGTTCCTCCTGGCTGTGGATCTGCACTCTGATCCCTGCCTCAAACGGGGTCTCCTCTACAGGGAGGGGTCTTTGAGGACAGAGACTGCAGCCCATTCTCCCCAGTTCTGGGAAGAACTGTTCTGCCCCTCTTTGCATAAGGGATGGAAGTGCCTCAGCAATCACGTCTTGACACCTCCACCCTCCTCTCCTTTCCCTGGCCTTTTTCCCTTTGTTCCAGTACTGGGGATCCAGGTAAGTACTGTACCACTAAGATCCACCCCACCTCTTTTTATTGCTTTTGTTTTTGAGCCTTGCTAAGTTGTGTGGGCTGGCCTCAAAACTTGCCATCCTCCTGCCTCAAGCTCCTGAGTAGCTGGAATTACAGGTGTGTGCCACCACACCAAGATCCCCTAGGCTTTTGCACCCCATTTCAGTTACCTGTCCTAATGCATGTGCTCCATACCCATGTGATTGGCAGACCCCACTGTGTGTGTGTGTGTGACCCTTACCCATGTCTTTCCACACTGGCAGATACTCCTCTTGTTGCACATCCAGCATGATCTCCAGCCCATTGCCAGCACCACCCTTGGGGGTGGTGAGCAGCTCTGCCCCATTGGCACCCGAGTTGAATGTGTAGCACTGCCCCATCCGGGTGAAGATCTGGGGGTGCAGACAGGGTGGCAGCCCTCACCCCAGACAAGCACATGGGCCTAGGGACTCTCCCCTCCTCATACTCTGCGTCTCTCTCTTGAACCCTGAAGCCCACCTCTTGATGCCCCTGACCCCCCAATGCAGATACATATGGGTGAGCCCTCTCAGACACCCATCTATCACTGCAACTCCTCCAGCCTCCAACTCCCACCAAGGCCCAGGGCACAGCCTACAGGGAAAAAGAAGTGGACCAGTTGCCATCCTGGCAAAACTTTGAAGAGACAGAGGAAAGCAAGTCCAAGTCCCCTTCTCCTAGCAGAGAGGGCTTTTCTGCCTAGAATAGAATTGTCCACTGGAGAGTTCCTTCTCCAATAGTAGGGTCTCTATAGGTCAGCCCTTAGGTGTGCATGACGATTGGGAGATGAGGAGGGGACCCCAAGGAGGGCCCCTTCCCGGGCTGAACAGAATGACATGGCTCCCAAGAAGGAAGGGATGCCAGGATGCTTGCTAAAGTTCTCTGACTTCAGGAGAGCCTGGCTGGCAATGCTGGGGAATGTGGGTCTCTGGATAGAGTGGGTAACTCACCACAGTGAAATTCTCCGGCCCACATGGCTGGCCTCGGTAGCGGCAGTCCAGCAGCATGTCCTCAATGGAGTGGCCAGCTCTGGCGTAGAGCTGCTCCATGTCAAAGGTGGGACTGGGCATGAAGCCCGGTGGTGCAGGGGGCCGGCCCAGGGAGCGCAGGAAGGCGGTGTGCTCAGCAGGGTCCAGACCCAGCAGTGAGGGCCCAGCCCAGTGCAGGTCGTTGGGTGTAAGGCGTGAGCGGCGCAGTGGGTTGATGTTGCACAGAGTGACAGCTGGGAAGGTGAGCCGGTGGCTTTCACACTCATCCAGGGTCGTCTCATGGTGGAACTCCCCATAGTAGCGCACCCGTTCAGCTACCTGGTAGAGGAAGGCTGCCAGCGACAGGAGCACGGCTGTGGCCCACAGCCCACGGCGCAGGGTCAGGCCACCAGGGCCAAAGACATGGCCAAGTCCATGCAGCGTGCAGCTGCTGGCAAACACACGGATGTCTGAGGCTGGCCGGCAGGCCTCTTCTAACCCTGAGGGGGGCTTCATGGCTGGAACCCAGGAGGCGCGTGGAGAGGTCCCTGGGGCTGGTGACCCAGGGGCTTAGAACAAGTGAGAGAGGGTGGGTTGGAGGACTGGCAGGGATGGAGATAGGATTCAGGGAGCCAGGAATTCAGGTGAGGAGAGGGTAGGAGAAGGTGGCAAGGAGAGGAGGGAGAGCAACAAAACCAAAGGCAGGAAGGCACTGGCCTGCTGGGATGGGTGAGGTGACCTGCTGGTCCAGAAACCTTCCCCAGAAACAGGTGGCGGCTCCCCTGGGCTCAGCGCTGGACTGGGGGCTCTGCAGCAAAGTCCAGGTAGGGCGCAGGCAACAGAGGCAGGCAGGGGCTGCAGAGCAGAGTTGAGATGGTGCTGAGCTGGCACTGCTGCAGAGGATTGGGTTTCAACAGTGAGGGGGGCAAGGGGGCCAGCAGAGCAGTCTGGGGGGCGGGGAAGGTCCCTGGGGCCCCAGGCTGAGCCATTAGCGCAGCACTGGGGGGGTGCCGTTGCTGTCAGAGACCAGAGGCGCCAGGAGGAAACCGCAGCAGCCTTGGGTAGGGCTTGAAGGGAGCCCAGAGATAAGTTGGAACTGGAAGTGCCAGTAGGACCCTCCAGATGCGGCCTCTGCACATCAGATCTGAGGGTTTGTCGCTGACCCTTAGTCCAGCCCCTCCCTCATTTTGCCTCTCCTGCCTTCCTACTATCCCACCTGGGATCATTTGTTCCTTCAGAGTGGACTTGGCTGTTGACCAAACTAGAGAGTAGTGGGAAGTTTGACATTGGCAGATCTCTTCCCTTGCTGTCAGCATCCCAGCCTACACTGGATGGTCAGGGTGCTCTTAAGGGCCACATTCAGGGATTCTTTTTTCCTGTATATCAGATCCTACCTCCCTATACTCAGGCCCTCCTGTTGGAGAGGCTGGCTTCTACCAGTGATTGTGGGCTTACCTGCTACCCTATTACTTCATGTCTCTTTTCACTGACCCTGTCCTAGAGACCATGTGATACCTAGCACCTGGAAAACCCCATCTTTAGAAGTGGCCACATGCCAGTAATCCCATTGATTGAATCGTGTTGTTTATTTAACCACTCC